AGTTTTGCAAAACCTAAGGCGTTTACGAAAACGATATTAAATGCAATCAATATGAAAATACACAATAGGGCTATTCGCGATCCGGTGCAAATGGCCTAGCATCATTGCATTGCAAATTTGTATTGCAAATTATTTGCAATACACAAACAAAATACACGCATTTGCATTTGTCATGGCTTGGCAAATTTGCAATACCGAAAATCCATAGCATAAAAATGCTATGCATTGCATTCATAAAGAAAACCAAAGCTGATGCACAAAAATTGTTTTGCAAAAGCTTTACCATGACAGTTTAATAAAGGTCGCTCACAATCCATGGCATATTTCTGCAATTGCATAAATTTGTCAGCTCTTATGCACCGAATCGCGAATAGCCCTAATATGTTACCCATTTCGAACTGTGTATTATTTTCAATATCTTCACTAGTAAAGTGCTTCATGCACACATAGCTTGATTTGGTGTTTAATGCATCTCCTCGCCGGCAGCACTTCTTCCACTTTTTCGCCAGGTTCGCGTCCGTAGGAAACGAAAAAAACTTATATCGCATGCTTTTCTTTTGTTTTCACTATTATACTTTGTCACTGCATACTTCATTTTGTTTTTTAATGTCTCAATAACTGTTTAAAACCACACAGAAATATTAACGCACAAATATTAAAATTGTTATTTGTTTTTTTTCGTATGCTCACAATCAACAATTGCACCAAGATGACGTCACGCACACAGCTGATTCTGTCAAAATCACAAAGAGCGTATTACCGGTACCGCGATTGGCGCAATCTCTATTTGTCTCAATCGTGACCTTTTCCAATAACTCTAATTTTTCTCCATGAGTATGGTATTGGTTTCACATACATCCATACATATGTATTTCCATACCAAGCTCGAGTGCTTTACCCCAAACATTTGAAGAGATATGCAATATGAAACTTTCAGTCAGTATGGGAGGTGCTACGCCTCTTTTCCAAAAACGTCCATTTTTCTCCGTGAATATGAACATGATTTCACACAGTGTTGGCAAACTGTTAATCTGATTAACGATTAAAATGTTAATGGCGTTTGACGATTAAAATTAATTAGTCGTAATCAACTGTACGATTAATGATAACATTTTTTTAATCGTTAATCGCTGGCTGCGATTACGTTTAATTAATTTAAAACATTAATCGTTAATCCAATTACAAGCGTAAAAGCACATAATAAAAAAAATATAATTATTGTTATTAGTAATACATAAACTGGGAACTTTTACAAACCTAGTTTGTAAAACATTTGTTGGTATATATCTTAATGAAAATGCACACCAAATTGCTTAGATTGATGAGGAAACCCGACTTAGCCATACCGGATTAACTTGCTTTGTGTGCACAGGAAAATTCCAGCATAACTTAATTAATCACCAAACCTACTTGATCAAATTAAGAGTTAATGATTAAAAATTAATTTTTTAATCGCGGTTACGATTAACTGTTTAGTCGGATTAAAATTAATCATGATTAACTGTAATCAGATTGAATTTAATCGAATTAACTAACTAATTAAAACATCAATCGATTAATGCCAACATTGATTTCACATACATATCACTATACCAAGTTTCAGTTCTCTCCCACAAATACTTCCAGAGATATGTATGTAATATGAAAATTCCAATTTGTATGGGAGGGGCCTTGAGTTATCGGACTTACTTTCAGTCTAAGACCATCCTTCCGAAATCCGTAGTAAGTGTACTAAATTTCGTTCTGATCGGAAAACCGGTTAAGGAAGTAGCCTATTTTTCAATCCAGGTCATAAACAATCCTTGAGCAAAATTTCATTTTCAAACAGGTGGAAATTCTTAAAAAAGTAGCATATTTTCCAGTCTAGGTCATAAGCTATGCAAATCAGTTCAGTCATTTCCACTTATTAATTTAATTAAACTTTCCTAATACGTGATAACTCTTAAAAGAGTAGCCTATTTTCCAACATAGGTCATAAGCTATCTCTGTGCGAAATGTCATGCAAATCTGTTCAGTCGTTTCCGCGTATTAATTTAATTAAAACTTTTTTAACAGGTNATCTTAATGAAAATGCACACCAAATTACTCAAATTGACGAGGAAGCCCGACTTAGCCATACCGGATTAACTTTCTTTGTGTGCACAGGGAAATTCCAGCATAACTTAATTAATCACCAAACCTACTTGATCAAATTAAGAGTTAATGATTAAAAATTAATTTTTTAATCGCGGTTACGATTAACTGTTTAGTCGGATTAAAATTAATCATGATTAACTGTAATCAGATTGAATTTAATCGAATTAACTAACTAATTAAAACATCAATCGATTAATGCCAACATTGATTTCACATACATATCACTATACCAAGTTTCAGTTCTCTCCCACAAATACTTCCAGAGATATGTATGTAATATGAAAATTCCAATTTGTATGGGAGGGGCCTTGAGTTATCGGACTTACTTTCAGTCTAAGACCATCCTTCCGAAATCCGTAGTAAGTGTACTAAATTTCGTTCTGATCGGAAAACCGGTTAAGGAAGTAGCCTATTTTTCAATACAGGTCATAAACAATCCTTGAGCAAAATTTCATTTTCAAACAGGTGGAAATTCTTAAAAAAGTAGCATATTTTCCAGTCTAGGTCATAAGCTATGCAAATCAGTTCAGTCATTTCCACTTATTAATTTAATTAAAGTTTCCTAATACGTGATAACTCTTAAAAGAGTAGCCTATTTTCCAACATAGGTCATAAGCTATCTCTGTGCGAAATGTCATGCAAATCTGTTCAGCCGTTTCCGCGTATTAATTTAATTAAAACTTTTTTAACAGGTGGTAACTCTTCCAAAAAATTCGCATATTTTCCACTGTAGGTCATAAGCTATCTGCCTATTTTTCAACTTAGCTCATAAGCTATCTGTGTGCAAAATTTCATGCAAATCCATTCAGTCGTTTCCGCGTATTAATTTAATTAAAACTTTTTTAACAGGTGGTAACTCTTCCAAAAAATTCGCATATTTTCCACTGTAGGTCATAAGCTATCTGTGTGCAAAATTTCATGCAAATCCATATAGTCGTTTCCGCGTGATGATTTTCCAAACATCCAAACATACAAACTTTGACATTTATAATATTTATTATATATCATATTATTATTATTATTATATTATTATTTATTACTCTAAGATAACCAAAATTAAATAACACCGAAAATAATACGTTAAAACTTGGCAAAAATAGTTCGGCTATAATTTTCCATTCCCTTGCGCCATCCCTCCACCTCAATCGTTGTGCGAATCCTCCTGAAAACTAAACAGGTGGTCCCACGGGGTGGTGTCCCCGCTACTGTTTAATTATTACATATCGTCGCTGGAATAATGAAATAGTGTAACATGAAAAGTATAGTTTTGAGAAAAACGAATTGGAAGTTTTTATAAACCATTACAAACCATACAAATACAATTTCGTTTTTCGGGAATAAATTAGTGAGCCAAAGAGATATTTAAGAAAACTAAAGATTTTTATAATAGATTAAAGGATTGTCTATCCAATGGTGCAATTATCGAATAATAGTGTATGTGGCATTTGCACTGTTTCTTTATTCGAGCGACGATATCAAAGTTCTCTCAACCACCATAGGGAGTCTCTTATACTGACGACTGCTCTATAATGGCGTCTGGGTTACCTCTCCGAACTTTCTCGCTTCTTCACTGCAATGAGCCTAACCCTCTTCCCTACAAAATCCTCGGCAACCCTTTTTACCACCTGGAGAAGCAGGTCAGCTGGGTATTCACGTCCATGGCTAACCAATTCCGACGGTGAATAACCCGAAAATCCTTGGAGTTACCTTCGACAGTCCGCTCTCCTTCTCAACGCATACAACCGCAATTGTCAATAGAGCACAAAGCCGCAACAAGGTCCTCAACATGCCTGGTGCAAAGACAAAGAATCGTTGTTGTCAACGTACAAGAAAATTGAGCGGTCGGTTCTAAACTATGCAGCGCTCGTGTGGTCGCCGGAGACTAGTAGGACGCAGTGGACGAAGCTACAGACTTGCCAAGACACGGCACTCCCGACATCGACCGCATGCCTTACGATGTCGCCACAGCATACTACAGTCCATAAACGGCATTCACAGGGAATCAGTGTCGACCTCCACTGACTCGACCTGTGGATGCCGTTATGGGAACACAACCACCTGACGTGGACGAGATAGAGCTTCGTCTGCCTCGCGAGAGTCTGACGACAATAGCCCAACTTCGCTCTGGCTACTGCACCAGCTTAAACTCGTACCTGTGCAGATTAGATGCAGATGTGCCTAAAGAGTGCCCGGCACGCGGAGACACCGCATCACTCGAGATATCTCTTCGCATGCCCACTAAACCCCACTTAACTAACGCCTCTGCCCCTATAGACATACCCTATAGAAGCTGCACGCTTCCTGGTCCTCGTGTTAGTTGAGCTTGATGACTAGCCAATCTGGGCGGGGCTGTTGCAGCCGCTCCGACAGCAACAACAAGGAGTAATTTACGCAAACGATTTATAGGAATTGCTGAGGATTAAAAATGAATCATATATGTACATTAATAATATTTGAGCCACGAATAATTTTTTGTGGAAACTACTCAAAACAGCGTGTGCCGAAATACCATCCATTGAACTGCTACCGCTAATTATGAAGCTGGCCAAAATTTTTGAAGGCTGTCGGCTTGTTATACAATCATTTCAGTTCAGATGAAGCAGCTAGAATCAAACAACAAAATACTTTTTTGGCCTGCCGTAAATTGAGAGGCCTGAGCTGAAGTTTTTATGAAATAAGTGCTGTTTGTGTTCATGGCTATCCGTGTTCAGTATTATGTTTAGTAAAATTTTATAATCAAAGAGTTTTGTTTTATTTGTAATTTTTCTCAATCTATTGCGAAACCTTTTAAAAGGGTGACCGTTTTAATATATTTATGTTGAGTAAATTCTCGTTTATCAGTAGTTTTTCTGTTTAAATTTTAGTTCATGCTATGGATACCACACCAATCGTTAAAACCATTCAGTCAAATGGTAATTTCATTTTATTAATTTAAATAAGTGTACAAATTTTCTTTAGTTCTAAAGTGCTTTTTTAGCATTATGTGTGCATGCTGTGATTTCCAAGGCTTGATCATTTAGTTTATATTATTTACAATTTTATTTAAAATATGTTTTCCGCTCATTTAAGGCGCTAGTTTTTGTAAGTTACACAACTAAAATTATATATAATTTGTATAGGTGCGAATGTATTTTATTACTTTGCTTTATTAAATTTGCTTTATTAGAGGGTGGAAAAAGTTTGAAGCTGTGGAGGTATGGAAATTATACATAACCAAAATTAAGAAGCAATGAATTTTGATCCTAAGACCTGCTGAATATTCGTGTGAAATTTATTTGATGTACTTTCATTTTCTTTTGAAGGCATTAAGGAGATGGTTTTTATACGTGTATTATTCAAACTAATAGTTTCAATACTAATGTTATTTTTTAAGGTAAATGACGCATAATACAATGCCACTGACATGACTGAATGATTTACTATAAGTTTGAAAGGACGTTTTCTCGACTTCCAGTTAATGTAGACAAAGGCGTAGTCAAATTTGTTTATGTGAGATTTTATTTGTATGTTCGATATTTTTTAATGCTAGTGAATGGATGCAAGAGTTTTACAAGAATAAAAGTTACATATTTGCTTAATAAAAATAAACAAAAAGTGTCACTCGAATTTCTCGAAGAACTCTTCACAAATATCGAAAGATTCTCCCTGCTATATACGGTCGCTGCGGTGTAGTCGTTAGCAGTGCGCGTTACTATTCCGCAAGGCCTGGGTTCAAGCACGGTCGCCCCTCGACAGGCAATGGCAAAGCTCCGAGTGTATCTTTGCCATGAAAAACAGCTTCTCATAAAAATACAATCGCCGTTCGGAGTCGGCGTAAAACTGTAGGTCCCTCCCTTTGTGTGAAAACATCAAGGCGCACGCCATAAATCGGAGGAAAAGCTCGGCCAAACATTAACATGTGTGTAAGCGCCAATCAAATGGTTGGTTCAAATAGGCGCATGAATGTATACAACAGTCTTCCCCACAATGAATTATATTATTACCTGGTCTGCTGGTCATCAAAATTCATCGTATTAAAACTTAGTGCAGAAAATGTAAAGTGATTGGCAACCTTAACTGCTTTTTATTTCCAAAAAAACGGATGGTGATAACAAAGCTAACGAATACTTACAATTTCACAGGTGGTCGAGAAAATTGCTTCAAACATGGCAATGGTCATTTTAACTACATATATACATATACGAGTACAAAACTGAAGCAAACAATTTATAACTTTTATAAATCTAATATCTTACTAGAATTTTAAGTGCCTACCATAAATTCAAAACAGTATGCTAACGTAGGTTGCTTATTAAGTAGTTTGATTTTGTAGGAAATTCTTTTTTCTCTTACTAATAATGTTATATATCGTCGTTATCAATTCAAAAGTGTCTGTTTAAATTTTTTTGGAAGAACCTTTTTTAATGTTAAAAAAAACTCATAGCCATATACATACATATAAGGGGAGCTCACGATTTGCTACGTAGCAACTTTACACCTCAAATTCTACAAGTCGCGAACTCGCCTATAGAAAACAATGAAATTTATTATCATCTCTAGAACAGCACCTGCAGCGTTAATTTTAAAGAGTTTGCTTTTCCTATAACATTTCAGATTTGTCAGTTAGAGGCTTCTGCTTTGATGACGATGGTATATTAAACAATATATTTTAATTTTGTTAGTTACTACATAATGCTAATTTTCAGCATGCTGACATGCTAATTGTCATGACCATTTAGAAATTACAATAATTTACATGCTTGTACTGTAATCATAAAAATTTTTGCAACTTTACTAGTTTGATATTTTTTCGTTGTCTATTTAAACGGACTTTATATTCAGAAAATATAAGATTTTGTGAGGATAAAAATACATTATTTTTAACCCATATTTGTGTATATATGAACCAACACTCATACATATGAAATATTATTTAGAAAAGTTCGGTCTTTGACAAGTTAAAAATTCCATATTAACTACAAAATACATATATATTCTTATATACTTTATACATATCTAACATTTCTGGGGTTTCAGTACTACTTTTTGAATGTACCTAACTAAAAATCTTACTCTAACTTTCAATTTATAAATATGTTGCTAAATCACTTAGTATTTTGTGTTGTGATTTTGTTTAAAGTAATAAACGTATGGATATACTTATGTATGTATTTTTCATAATACATTAATTAATACTCACAACTTACAGTGACAACACCCCTCTTTGGCAACAGTCGCAGTTACGTAGACCCACATACGTACGAAGATCCTAATCAAGCTATTCGTGAATTTGCTCGAGAAATTGACGCGAATTATATAACAATTGAAGCTATAATTGGTAGTGTGCCACAAAAACTAAAAATCGTGAGCAATTAATATGCATTTTTCTTAGGTGGAGGCGAGTTCGGAGACGTATGTCGTGGTCGTTTAAAAATACCTCCTAACTTCGTTCAAGACATAGATGTTGCCATAAAAACGCTTAAACCAGGTAGTGCAACATATCGTTTTAATTGATCATCTTAGTAAATTCATTATTATTTTAGGGTCGTCTGAAAAGGCTCGATGTGACTTTTTGACAGAAGCATCAATTATGGGGCAATTTGACCACCCAAACGTTATATACCTTCAGGGAGTTGTGACGCGCTCCAATCCTGTAATGATTATTACTGAATACATGGAAAATGGGAGCCTGGATACGTTTTTGCGAGTCAATGATGGCAAATTTCAGACGTTGCAGCTTATCGTAATGCTACGTGGCATTGCTAGCGGTATGTCTTACCTTAGTGACATGAATTACGTCCATCGCGATTTGGCAGCTCGAAATGTACTTGTTAATGCTCAACTTATATGTAAAATAGCAGATTTTGGACTATCACGTGAAATAGAGAATGCCAGTGACGCATACACAACGCGGGTACGTTATAAAATAAGATTAAAAACTACCTTGTTAAACAAGCAATCTATTAGGGTGGGAAGATACCAGTTCGTTGGACAGCGCCTGAAGCTATTGCTTTTCGTAAATTTACATCAGCGTCAGATGTATGGTCATATGGTGTTGTTTTGTGGGAAGTTATGTCGTACGGTGAGCGACCGTACTGGAACTGGTCAAATCAGGTAGTTTTGACTTTTTAGAATTTTATTTATTTATTTATATATATTATTTGATGAGTTTAATTTCAGGATGTTATAAAAAGTATAGAGAAGGGCTATCGACTTCCGGCACCCATGGATTGCCCTGAAGCATTATACCAGTTAATGCTTGATTGTTGGCAAAAACAACGCACCCATCGACCAACATTTTCAAGTATAGTATCAACATTAGACAATTTAGCTCGACAACCTCAAGCGCTGCTGACAACAAGAAATTCCCCAGAAAATGATGGAACACATATCTTAGAAAGTCAACGTGGTCACAACATATTTATAAGTACAGACTTGTGGCTGGAGAACATTAAAATGTCCCGATATTCACAGCATTTTAAAGAGGCTAATTTGGTGACTGCCCAACAGGTAATTATATTATATTGCTTTTTAGGTTTTGTTTAAGCATACATAACATAATATAAACATTTATCTCCGCTATCGTGAACTACAAATACAATACAAATCTCCTAAAATGACGATTTATGAAATGTAAACGTGAATTTGAAATATTAAGTGGCTGGTTTGCTGTCAAAAGCATCGAAACTTTAAAAAAGTGCTCGCAATTTTATTTCATTACTAGTGCTTATTTGTTTTTCTTGTTCGTTCCATATGGATGATTTTTACTTTATCTTTTAATAGCAGAGTGGTTATTGGTGCGTACTACCACTCGATGGGACCCGGGTTCGATCTTTGGTCTGAGCAAATGTGTAGAAAACGTTTTTCTAACAGCGGTTGGCCCTCGGCAGGCAATGGCAAACTTTTAAGTGTAATTATGCATTCGCATAAGGAAGAAAATCTAATTTGAGAAAGTAATAAGAAATCCTTTTGCCTCAACCGTGTTTTTGAGCTTTATACCACTATTTGTTATTAGGATAATGAAAAAAGCAATAAAGTCTCAGCGGACGAAGATATATCACCACATCTCCTCATCAGACTTCATATTTAGACTTCAATAACACTGTTGAGGTAAATATTACTACTCTATAACATAAAAAAAATATGTAATTTACGATGAGGCTGCCTAAAGGTACACAAGAATTCTGGTTAATGAATATAATGTAAAACAAGATAGGCTGTACCAGAATTCTAACTAACGTATATAGGTTAAAACAACAACTACACTGCCTCTTCGACCTTGTTGCTTTTTCCGGTGACAGGTAACAAGATCAACGGAAATAAGGTCAATTGACTTTATTTCCCACCCTGGTGCGAAGTAAAGTCAATTGACATTATTACCTTTTTAAAAACGAAATAAAATCCATTGACATTATTTCTCTTTCAAACATTAAATTTGCTAAGCTTCGCGGCGGCCCCGTCAGCGCGCCACACCGCGCGCGCCGCGCTCGCGCCCCGCGTACCCCGACCGACCGGCGCGCACACCACATCACGCTACGCCGCGGCCCCCCGGCCCCCCTTCCCCCACTCCCGCCGTGCTGTAACGCAGGTAGATTTATTTTTTGTATACGTTCAAATAAAATTTGTATATATTTTAAACATCGAGGGCTTATATTCTATAATACCCTCTATCTGATATTAAATAATCAATAATTGTTTATATCCGCATTTTGGTACATTGGCTCGTTGAATGTGCCATCTAATAAATAGTGTCGTCATTCTCCTTAGCTGCTTTTAAATGATGTCGTCACAAATTGCTGGCGGAGACATTGTTTCCTTATAGAAAGGTGGGTTTCTTTTCCACCTTAGACATTCCGAATTCGTTCAAAATATGCTAATTTAAAACACAGAATTCTTTCAGTGTTCCTCCGGGGTTTTTGGACATGGACTGTTTCCTCAATTTAATAGTGTTCGCTTTATTTTTGTGGAAACGAAACAAGTTTTGCAAGATATGGATCATTTTTACACTCTTTCTTAAAATATTTCTCGTATTCCAGCTGTGCGTTTTTACATATTCGTAATTTAAATTTTTTTAATAAAATCAATTGGTGGGAGTTCATGATTGTGTGTGGATTAATATCACAACACTGAGGATTTGGCTATAACCTTTTTCATCTATTAAAAAACAACACTTACGGGGCAATGTTTATTGTAAGAACAACATTTTTTTCTATGAATCGACATACTTTAAGCATTGTTGGCGCTATTTCCATTTGAATGAGGAAATAGCGTCAATGACTTTATTTCCAAATTTTTGTTGACTTTATTTCGCTTTTGAAAAGGTAATAGTGTCAATTGACTTTATTTCGCACCAGGGTGGGAAATAAAGTCAATTGACCTTATTTCCATTGACCTTATTACCTGTCACCGCTTTTTCCATTTCGACTTTGTTGCTTTTTCCATTAACACTGTTGAAATTGTAACGCCACAATAACACAAAATAATGAAATAACTTAGGAGGAACCAGAATTCAAATTAGCACATAGAATTAAAAGCAACTACATTATCAAACTAAAATAGTAACGAATCGGCTGCACTTTATTTGGTTAAGTTGTATAAGGAGATGGATTTGAAACAAGAGTTAACGGCCTATACACGTTGGCGATAACCTGTATTGCACTCGATGGAACGATGACCTGTATAAGCTTTAAATTTTAAGTTTAAAATGAAATGAGTGCAGCGAAAGACCAATTAGAGAAGGACCTGGCTTCACGTGTCATTTCTAAGTAGCGTCAGTTCGCACATTATTACGCCATAATAATACAAATAAAATTGAAATTTGTTCACCATTTGTAAATCTAAAAAGTCTTTAGTAGTAAATAAATTCTTGTTAAAAGTAAAAACCCCCTATGGTATTAAAAAAAGAAGTAAGCAAGAAATAATGTAATGAATCGGGACGTTTTCGTATGCGATTTAAAACTTTCAAAATCGAGATTACAAGATCTTCATAACTGTATAAAAAAGTAGTAAAAATGAATGGCGGAAACGAAAATTCATAGCTGAGATTGCCGTTGGGGAAAAAGTGCATCTCTGAGAAACCGCAGCTCTGAGAAACTACAAACCAGACAATAGAAACACAACTAAGGAAAATTCATCAACAAAATTCTCAAAGCAGTGTTATAAAAATTGTATTTTTCCAGGAGTATTTTTTTTAACTATAACAAAGAAATTACTATTAATATAAAGAAATTAGTAAGTAATAATTACTGAAATTATCGTTTTTTTATAGATCTCCCGGTTAACGGCTCAACAACTATCTGATATGGGTATAACCTTAGTAGGGCATCAAAAAAAAATTCTACATCAGGCCAGGCAGTTGGATACTATAATTTAAGATTATTAATATTGTATTTGTAGACTCGAATCAGTGTAAATATGGCATTATTATGAAAAATATCGTTTAAAATAATAAGTTCACTTATTGTAAGTATTATAATGTTAGAAGAATTCTCGTACTATGGGTTTTTTCAACCACTTTCTAAGAAACAAATTAATTTATTTCTCGCACATAGTCCTCAAAAATCGATTCACACCGCAAATATTGATTAAAATTTCTTATATATCTTAAACAAGTTATTATTAAAAATAAACACATTTGCGAGGAGTCAAAAGACTTGCAACTACCATTATTCCCATCGGGTTTAATTAAAAAATAAAAATAAAATTATATATTTTTATACTTTTTATCTATGCAAATATCTTATGTTTGATCGTTGTTTAATGAAATTAGGGCGAAAAATATCAGTAACCTCTCTCTTTGGATTCCACGTCATCTTCTAATATTCAGATAACAGCAAGCCACAGTAATCTGTGAACAAACTGATAATAATGGCCCTATTTGGTATGGCGACTGGCAGCTGGTTGCCGGTGTAATAGCCATGGCTACCAGTATCGTACTTTGTATTATGGGCAACTATTTTAATTTCAGTATACAGAAAAGCTCACACAGCCTGTGTTACCGCTGAAAAATTTCAAAAGATCGCAGGAAAAAGGGTCACGACGCAAAAAAAAGGGCTACCTTTAGATTTTTTAAACTACTACATAGATATACAATATTTGGGCGTTATTTTTTCTTTTAAAGGCAAATCACATGCCTTAAAAAATCAATTTTCCACGCAAAATCGATTAGAAAACTTTAAAGCATATAATAAATGTAAAGTTAATTCAGTCACAGTACAATAAAAAGAAAATTCTTTCATTAAAACTAAAGTAAATAGCTATTTTTAATTAGTATATTTAACACGAACAAAATATTTGCATTTTTTCTGCCTCATATATCGCCTTAATATTTTGTATATGCTTTTTAGTTTTCTATTGGCCTTTGAAGTGGTTTTTGTATTTACAAGCAGCTGGGTACACACTACGCAAATCGGCCGCTTTGTTTCTTCGTGCATCTTGATCCACTTAAATGCAGACTGTCAATCCTCTTCAAATTTTCGATGCTTTTTTTCGCCTTATTCGAAGATGTGCACGGTTCCAAATCTAATTCACAGACTAAATCTGCACCGCCGCCTGAATCAGTGTCCTTGGCCCCGTCCAAAGAAGATCCTATATTCTCCGTGCGTTTTCTTTTTGTAACGTACGTGCAAAACAATTATTAAGGCAAAAATCAAATTTATTACTATTATTAAATTTAATATTTAATAATATATTATCCGTGGAATATGCAGTTCAAACTGTTAGAAAACGCAAAAATCATAAAATATTCCCTACACTAAATTTGGAGCGTCGCATGCCTATGCCAAAAACATCAAATATAAAATGATTGCAAGCAGTTAAGATGTTGTCAGCGATAAAATTTTAAGAAGTTAAGGGTTACCGATGTAAAAAGAAACCAAGGATGATGAAACTTTCAAACTCTTTAAGGAAATGCTTAAAAATATTGAATTTAAGTGTTGAAAGTTAAAAGGGACCAAAAGTCGGAGAAGGTCAAATTTTGAACGTTTTAAAAAAATTGGTGCCTGGGGGAATGCCTCCCGAAAATGGCCAAATTGCGTCTTTATTCGCCCCAACGGTAACACTGCAGACAGCATCCGAGTTTACTTTTTTGACATGTAATTGGCAATTTTGCTCCAATGCGTTTGACATTTTATGCAAGCAAATAACAAAATCGTCATGGCAGAAAATTGCGCTACCAAACTCATGCCCTTATTATGAGTTGCATTCAATAGCCAGCGAAGATCGAAAGTAAAATTCGTATTATGAGCTATGCAGGCGTGTCGAAATTTTCGTTGAGTATCGTTTTCTGTCGAACAGAATTTTGCTTTCGATGGTACACCGAAGTTTAAGAAAATTGTGAAAAATTTATGATTTTGCATTTGTGTTCTTACTTTTTGGCGGCTAGACACTAATTTTAAATACAGTTCTTACATCGTGAATACTAAACACAAGCTCCAAAGGCTGGTTTTACTTGTGAAAGAAAATCCCAATACTCAGTTGGCACGATCTCTGAGAACAAAATCGTAGAGCTGTCGATAGTTTTAAAATATTTTAAATAGATTTGGCTCACAAACGCCCCTTAGACAGTCGGAACTTTTTAATAAATCTGTAGACAAATTTCTTCAATATATTTTATGTCAAAATATATTCGAAATACTACACTTAAACTCTCTTAAACATTCACTACTCCTGGCCAGTTTACTAAGCTCTTTCATCCGTTGTACTAATTTTTTCACGATTTTATAAACTCTTTCTTTTTTATTTCGTTTTAATTTTTACAAATTTACATAAATATGTATAAGCAGACTTTTTAGTTTGCTCGATTTGTAAACAAAGCTTCTCAGCGGCGAAAAGTATACTACCTAACAACCTAAACGAGCGAAATTCACAATAGCGCTATTCTTCGCGAATGAGCGTCATAATACCAAATGAAACTTCGTTTGATCAGCACTTTCGACCACAGTCGAAGATCGAATGCAACTCATAATAGGGGAAAAGCTTCTCTGCGGTGAAAAATATACTATTGGGAACAACATAAACGAGCGAAATTCCACAATCGCGCTATTCTTCATCGAATTCGTTCGATCAGCACTTTCGACCACAGCCGAAGATCGAATGCAACTCAGACCATGGGCCTCAGTAGTCAGTTGCCATACGTAATGCGAATTTTAGTAGATGATGCAAAAACGTTGGACCTTTGGAACATTCCCTTAAGTGCCGTTTTTTACGTATGACTAAAATTTTATCAGTCTTTTCACTGTTTAAATTTATTAAATACAATAGATAAATATTTGAAATATATTGCTTTTGTTTGCTACACAACCGAAAGCTGTTTGCAATCTATGCCCGTTTAAAATCTCCAAATATAAAATGAGTTTCATTTAATATAATTTCTATTGTTCAGTAACACAATTGGATCTGGGCCATTATTGTGAGATATGCAAAGTACCATTAAAAATATAATATACAGTACCTGCTCACCGAATTGCGGCCAATTGCGTTTTTTTTTTTTAAATAATTTAGTTTTCATTGCGAATTATGGTTATTAAAATAAAGAAAAAAAACCACCGGTATTTGAGAGTAAGCTTGCATTAAATTAAAAAAAGGATGTTCGAGGGTTATGCACAAACCGATGTAGTGGAGGTTATGCGTAAGTTGGTGAAAATTTAAAAATTTTCTAACACCAAAATTGTGACTTTTATTTTATAAATTTTATTACAATAAAGTGCAAGTTTGAGGTAGGTAGGATTTACCGTTAATTTTTGGATTTCTTTTTTTTTTGACGGTGTTACGCATTTTTTTCACACAAATTATGTTCGATAATATTTTTAAAAGAGAAGCAAATGAGCAGCACACATCGCACTTGCACTTTATTATATTAAATTTTAATGAGCTACAAAACTTCAAACCAAATTTTTTCTAAAGATTCTGATTAAAAAGTTTGAAAGTTTGCTGAAACTTTGCAGAATTAATTTTTTATAGTTTTTTGCACAAAGTCGGTAATTTGGATTTATATGGGTTTTGTTAGGAAAAGAGCCTTGCATAAAAAATAAGAACATAAAATAAACAAAATAAAAATAGCCATACGTTGCTAAAATGTCTAGTCCTAATTTATATTTTGGTCAGTGTATGTATCTCTCTATTCGAATCACAGGCATTCAGGTTAGAAACTAATAACTGTTTATGGAGAAAATTACGATCATATACACCGAGGAAAAAAATAATTAATTCAAATAGAAACGTAATTAATCTTACTATAAACGTCAACGAAAGTGCTGTATATTGGTAAATATTCAATTCAATTGCGCGCAAATTAAAATGAAAAAGCATCCGTGAAGTGAATAAATAAGATAAAAACCAAAAAAAAATTTAATTTGCATGTTGCCGGTAGTGGAACTCCAACCCTTACCCTCTCTGGACATCAACGCAAATTGTGGCAAACATCTTTGCGCACTCAGCTACAGCCAGACATATAAATTTGCTTTCAACTGTTGAATTACCATCAACACCACAGAACGCGTTTTGTACGGATAAACATGTATTTTGTATGTATGTATGTGTTGTCACCGCTCTGCATGCTGGGGATGCGTATGTACATTTACATATACATACTCAGATGTGAATTGTCAAATACGTGCGTAATAAATTTTTATATGAAGATATTATTTTTAAATACTAACATTTTTAAATGATTAAAACTGGTTCGTAGACATGCCATTTTAATGGGCTGTTAAGGCATCGAAATGCTGAACACTGAATACGGGACAAATACAGGACATGAAAAGGAATACAAAACATTTGTCGTCCCGTATAAAATAAAGAAATTACCAGGGATGCTTTCCATTTCCAGACAACCGGTCAGGTACGAGCATGATTTTTAATTTCGACCAAACTCAAATACATTGTTTGTTGGTCCAAATAATGAGACCAGCGTTGCCGCTTTGGTAATTTTTAACCAAAAATGGTAATTATTTTCTTTACTTATCAAATTTGGTAATTTATTTTTCAATTTGGTAACTTTTTCGATTCGGTCCTACTTGTCACATAGATCAATACAGGAACTGATTCCACATTAGGATGTGTCCCGTAAGCGTTTCTTTTTATACAAATAACCAGTAATCCTGAAAGTTTCGCAAGGCGAAAAGTTGGTCCAGCGTTCCTTGGTTCTTGAATGGTGTGATCTCTAACAAACCACGTGAAAGTTGCTATTGCTATATCTACTGAGTCCTATCCTGGAAGGTTGTGGCAGGTCCTACCTTTCCTTGTCAGTTCAGCAGCTTTGCATTTGCCATCAATATTCCCGTGTACTCCGACAACCATATGAGTAAAGTTCTATGTAAATATGTACAAATCGTTGACGTTTTTTCAAAACCGTCCATCGACCAGTTGCAAAACCACCTAATACGCCGTTTTGCAAAAATGCCATTTGGTAACCCTGAACTCCAGGCATCGAGATTTATGCATACAAATTTATAAATCGTTATTAAAACAACAGATTTGTAAAATAATAGCTAGAGAAAATATCGCCTATCAAGGCAATGCCTTCAAAGAAAAACCGCTTTTTCGCTCTCTTGCAAAATTTGGGTGCCATAAGATAGGCGGTTTCGCAATTGGTCGATTGGCGGTTTTGTAAAAACATTGACGATATGTTTTCGCTCAACAAGCTTTTGTAATCAGTAGGGCACTTCTT